CGCATTCTGGAATTATATATAAGGTGGATGGATAATTTATATTCTGTTGTGCCAAATTTATCACAATGTCAACTTCACCACACCACAACTATAATAAAGGGTAAAGACAATAAAAAAGCTACTCCCTCCCTTTTTAAATAAATGTCGTTTTGACTTTTTTGATTTATCCATTTTGCTATGTATCTAGACATATTTAATGTCTAGATACATAGCAAAATGGATGAATAAAAAAAGTCAAAACGACATTTATTTAAAAAAGGAGGTAGTACATATTAGTTATTACTCAAAGATTCTTTTAATTCCAAAAATTTGTAGCCCACACAGTTTAGAGAATTGGGCTGTATCCAACAACTATTTCTTATTCTTCATACTGTTTTGCAAAAATTTATCAAAATGGGCCGAGGCCCATTTCAGCTCGAGTGCAGTTAAACCTCGGGTATAGAGTCCATATTAGGGGTGGGCACGGTTCGGTTAACCGAACATTTTGAGGTATTTGCTAACCGAACCGAACCGAGCAAATATTCGAACTCGCTAACCGAAACCGAACCGAAAATCTCGGTTAATCGAATTTTCGGTTAATCGAAAAAAATCCTACTATTCGCGAATTAACCGAACCGAACCGAACCGAGCGAACATAACACAAATCTGTTTGTTCGCAAATAATAAACCGAACCGAACCGAACCGAACCGAAAACATTAATATAAATATAATATATAATATATAATATATAATATATAATATAATATAATATATATTTTAATAAAATATATATTTTATAATATATAATATATAATATAATATATATTTTATAAATTTTAATATAATATACGGTTCGGTTCGGTTAACTGGGGTAAAAAAATCTTAAAAACCGTAACCGAACCGAACCGAGCAAATACTTCATTTGAGGTATTTGTAACCGAACCGAGTCCCCCGGTTAACCGAAAATTCGGTTCGATTTCGATTCGGATCTACGATTCAGCGGTTCGGTTCGAATTTTTTGCCCAGCCCTAGTCCATATATCTTTTTTTTTTTTTTTTTTTTTTCAGTTTTTTTGTATTCACTTTGGTATGACTCGTTAAGATCAAAGTTCGCCTTTAATACTGAAAACAAATTGAGCTCAAACTTGTTTATCTACTTGTTTAATTAACGAGTCGGAGCTTGACTCAATTCAATATATTAGAAGAAGCTCGAACTTGTCACATTTATAATTGTACAATCTATTAAGGTAGGTGTCAGTATGCTATTAGTTTATTTTTATGACCAGTCCGATTGAAATTCTTTAAGTAATCGTGATAATTCAGAAAACTTGTTATATAGTTTTTAGCGATTATGAAATTGTAACATTTTTCAACTTTCAACTATAGTTAATATTACTATTTTTCACTAGAAACACTATATTCACCAAACACATAAAACATGTCTTTATCTGAAGAGAATATCAAATTAGATTTGCCCTTGAAATTTTTCTGCTCAATTTTATTTATTTATTTATTTAATTTTTTTTCCTGCAGGCTGCCAACTGATTATTTCTTGCCACCTTAATTAACCTAACAACCACCGCCACAAAAATAAATAAATAAATAAATAAATAAGATCATTAAATTTTTCCTTTTATATTCATAAATAATTAGATTAGATAGTTGTGTGGAATTTATCTCAACCCTTCAGCTAAAATGTCACAATCTTATTTCCTCATACTTCACCTTAATTAATTATATATATAAGAAACATTTTTTTTAACATTATTAATTAAATATATGCACTGCTAACTGAAAATGAATGCCAATCTCTCGAAATGATAGATTCAAAACCGCCAACTAAATTAGGCTATGTTTCGGGAAAACTGATAAGCTACCTCATAGCTTAGTAATTTTCGAGTTTATAGTTTATAGTTTATGACTTATATCTGAAAAGCTTGCTTATATAATAAAAGTGTTTGGTAAAATTAACTAATAAGCTAACTGAAATAAAAAAAATTTCAACGAGCTTATTTGAAAGCTACCAAAAGAAGCTTATCAAATAAGCTCGAGCTTTTTAAATAAACTCGTCCTACCAAACGAAACTTATTTAAATACATGGAATTTATAAGCTAATCAAATAAGCTACTATAAGTTAACTTATTGGTCTACCAAACATTAGCCTATATATAATAAACTGTACTTTGGACACGGATGAGCAATCAAACACTAATTTATTGGACATAAAATAAGGTTTGGTATTAACTAAATTTCAACAAGAAATGTCTATTCTATTGAACACACATTCTTATGGGTTACTTCATTTGGTACTTTATTATAATTTGTTTTAATTAATTAAATTTCATAAAGGACCAACACGCCACCTTTTAATCTGTGCTGCCAAATTTGATTTGATCTTAATTAATTGAGATTTTAGTTAAACGAGTAGTGGAGTCGATATATTGTACTGTATGACAAAAAAATACATACTTATAATGTGAAACATCATACTTTAAAATAAATCATTGTTTTTTATTTGATTTAAAGTATAAAGTTTTGATTATAATTAGAAAAATTATAATTATCGAATGATTAATTAATTAATTAATGCAAGAAATGAATATGGTGGAGGGTTAGGTCAAAGTTTGTTTATGGAGGCTTAATCAATGTTCGTTGATATGTTGCTAATTACGTGGATTTCTTGAAAAGATGAGATACTTAAGAAAAAAAAAATATTGTTCGAGCCCTGGGAATGCAATAGTGTTAAAAACTCTCGAAGGAGAGTTTTGCCGCATTTGTGGTTCTACCCGACTCGATTCTGAATTAGTCGGTTCCCCTATGGATTTGGAAACCGAAAGGTCCATGTACCATTAAAAAAAAAGATATAATATCGTCCTCCTTATTTTATTTTTGCAAGTTAACTAATTTGTTTTGATCTATTTCCAAACTCTCTCTTCATCTAATATCTACTTAAACTCTATACGAGATAGATGTGCACATAATGGTGTTTTTGATTCGTTTGTTTATTAGTGGATTGTTGCTAAATTAGTGGATTGGATCTTATTTATAAGTTTGTTCGCTCAAAAATGCTAATTAACTTGTTCGGTAACGAGCCTAATTGATTTTTTTTTTTTACCCAAAACGATAATTCTGAAAAAATTCAAAAAAAAAAAAAGAAAAACAATTGAGAAAAAGAAGATTCAAAATAGGGCAATACATCCATAAATTTCTGCTATTTACCAAATGTTTATTTGACAAACTGCTATTTAAGTTCGCTATACAATCAATAATCTACTACCTGCTAATAGATTCAGCTATCAATTATCAGCTAATTGTCAAACAAGACCCCTAACATTAACGGGTTGACTTTATGTAAAAGTTTGACCCATTAAATTCGCTAACCAACTTGTTCAGTAAAGAGATTATTTATTTAGTTTTCTTGTTTCAAAGCACTATTTTTTTCGAAAAAAAAAAGAAAAAACTCTGAATAAGAAAATTCATCAAATAACACACCATACCGAACCATAAGAGTTCTAAAACACCGATACAAACCGCTACTTTTTAAGGATCATTCGCAAATCGTTGTTAACAAATCTGTTGGTCAACTCAACTATTAAAATCGCTGATACAATCAATTATCCGTCATTCACAAACACGAAACAGATTAATGCTATTGTTTTCTTTGGAATTGGAGGAGATTAATTAATTTTAACTTGTGATTAGAACACTTCTACTTGATTAGAGATTTAGAGTAGAATGTCTACATATTTGTGATGGGAAAGACATACCACCACGGCCAGATATATATATAATCTAGTTGAGATTTTTTTTATAGATACTGATTTTACACCCACCACCGAAGATAAATATATATGTATGTCCCTTGTGTGCTTTGACAAATTTCGATGTGAATGGCTAAACTATTTTAGACGTGCTTAATTAATTAGTTATGAAAATAATTTATATATATATATATATATATATATATGTTTTATATTGCATTAATTACACAAAAATAAAAGTTAGTGCAACATGTTAAACCTTAAAAATTTAATAAATTAATGGAATTGGATAATGTCAAAAGTTATTATACTAAAATTGCATTAATTTTCTATTTTTAGAAATTATATTAGATATTGTGCAATTAGGTAACACATAAACCAGTTATCAGTCTTGTTAAAGGTGGAGACATTATTAATTAATCAATCATATGCACTGTCAAACTTGTTTGTCAAGTCTAAATACATTCAACTGAAAAAAAAAAAAAAAAAAAACCTTAATTTGCATAATTGAATAAAAAAGGTTTATATAATGTTGTGTCATATATATGAAGCCACGCCTTTATATATCTTAAGCAACTTCCAATTTTTTTGAAAAAAACAATCATTGTTAACTAAACAAGAAAATAAATTTTCTTGATAAAAATTGCTCATTTTTTTCCTTTATATATTATATATAGGACTAGTATTAGTCTTTTTTTTTCCTCGTTAATTCTCTTGCATGTGAATTAATCCAAGGTAATATATTCTATATATATATATATATACTTTCATTTCAATTTACATATGATTAGGATTCTGTGATGCTCACCAATTCTACTCCAATTCAATTTGTTAAGGACCAAATAATTATTAATACAAATTCTTGGTCGCTTAAGCAAGGTCTCGGGTTCGAGGCTTTGTGGATGTAGAAAATCCTTGTTCGGAGACTCACCTACCATTACCAGGTGCGCGACCTGAGTCGACCAACGGATTAGTCGAGGCATAGCACCAGATACCACAGCTGGCTACCAAAAAAAAAAAATTAACTACCGAAATTATTTTCACACAAGTAAACAACAACATTTGAATTTACTGTTTACATGGGCCATTAGAAAATCAAATAGAATAATAATGAACTTAGTTAATTTCTGTGTGTGTGTTAATGAGTCTATTATAAGTATCGACTTTTCCTCATTTTGTTTTTCTATTTCTTCCTTAGTTTCATCACACATATGGATAAGCCCTGGAAACTTCAATTGGACGGTTGATCGGAGACTTCAAATGGATGATCAAACAACGTGCGGTGGATCGAGCAATGATCCGATTATAACTAGTAAGGCGGCTTGTCCTCGAGGCCACTGGCGGCCGGCCGAAGATGAAAAACTCCGGCAACTTGTCGAGCAATTTGGCCCTCAAAACTGGAATTCTATAGCTGAAAAGCTTCAAGGAAGATCAGGTGTGTGTGTGTGCGTATGTGTGTTTTTGTATATGTAAAATTATATCTTGAAGTTTATTATTATTATTATTATTATTATTATTATTATTATTATTATTATTATTATTATTATTATTGATATTATATTCATCTGGTGTATATATTTCAAGATTAGGGTTTAAGTTGCCCTATTAATAATATATTACTACATTAGATACACTTGCTCTCTTAATTGATTTTTAGCTTATTGTGTTTTTTTTTTTCTAATTAAAGTTTGCATATATGATAAGGTTATAATGTCATTCTTTCTATATTTTTCAAAAGATCTATTCAAGAACCAGGAAAAATTTTGGATTTTAATTATATAAACCATCCAAAAGAATTCATTTTTTAGAAAAATATAATGATAAATTCCTCTATTTTCCATTAGATTACATAATTATATTGAATAAATTATAATTAATTAAATAACCCAAAAGAAAAAAAAAATATTGGTCACCTAATTCATTATGGCTCAAAAAAAAAAAAAAAAATTTTCTCTTCTTTTTAATTAGGTTTGGCTATTATATATACCTTTTTTTTTTCCTTTTCAACTAGTTATATATATTATTCATCCATTACTATTATTATTTATTACTAATATTTAGCTAGCAGCTATTTATGGTAATTAAATTTTAATAAAATTCAATTAATTATATATATATATATATATATAGGTAAGAGTTGCAGATTGAGATGGTTCAATCAACTTGACCCAAGAATAAACAGAAAGCCATTCTCAGAAGATGAAGAGGAAAAGCTTCTTGCAGCTCACAGCTTACATGGCAACAAATGGGCTCTCATTTCAAGGCTTTTCCCAGGTAGAACTGACAATGCTGTCAAAAACCATTGGCATGTAATCATGGCTAGAAAACAAAGGGAACAAAAATCCAACCTCATGATATGTGGCAAATTAAGGATGAATAATAGTGATCATTGCACTAATAATAAGTCTCCCACTAATTACGTTTTCCGACGAAAACACTCGAGGCTCGTCAACAACGACGAAGAGTTCCACGGCTCGAAGATCAGTTTCATAAGGAATGATGGTTTTCCCGATTCAGAAAGTCGAAGCAAGGATCATAGGATGTGGCCGCGCGATTTTTCGGCTAATTATAATAATTACTCTCGCGATTTGTTCTACGGATCGAGAAGAAACGGGCCACAAGTACAAGTGTTTAGTGGCTACAAGTACTTGGATGCATTTAGTAATCATATGGAATGTGGGGTGATGAAGGGTGAATCCAGAGGCGCGGAACAAAGTTCGTTCGACTTCGAAAAGAAGAGGATGGATCGCTCGAGAGAAGGGTTAGGAGAGGAACCGGTTCGAACGAAAAATGTTCCATTTATAGATTTTCTTGGTGTGGGAACCTCTTCTCGATCGATTAATTAGTGTATGTGGGAGTTGTTTTTTTACGGTTATTCGATCTTCGAATTTTTCGTCTAGGGTTTGTTAATGTTTAAGATATTATGGTGGTTGTGTTGTTTGCATGTCTAGTGTAGGGTTAGCTCAACTCCAAGAGAATTGTGTTGTGTGATAGTTTGTCATTATGGTTATAGTTTTGGTAAACATTAAGAAATATATAGACCCTTAATTAGTGAAATTTTTGAATGTTCTTGAAGTTACTATCCTATTTTCTTGCCCAATTTGTAATTAATTCAACCTTGTGATATCATATATATTTTTTTTTTTCAACACATGAGATTAGAACGTAAAAGGAACCAAGATAAGGTCAAACATGCAATTTTAATTTTCAATATAGTGTCTAATCTATATTGGAACAAATGATAGTAAGTAAATGCATTATATACAAGTGTATCAAATTAAAATTTTAAATGCATTACATAGAATATCGAAAATTTTTGTACAACGAATGAATATCATTATACCTGGACAACAAACAGATAATATAATAATTATAAGTAATGGATATAACTCAAATAAATACATTGATAATTAAATACGGTCGCTAATTAATACTTTGGTAGGCCCATTTGTGTTTCTAGGCCAAGAAATTTGAGTTGGGCTAAAAATCTCCTTTTTGTTGGGCTTAAAAAACATGGGCTTCTTAAAACCTTAAAAACTACAATAAATTGCTACGTAATTGACTAATTGTACGCTTCCTCATCTCATCTTCTTTTTCTTGGAAATGGGAACGAGCTGGGCCCCCGGATTGTCAGGCTATATATTATTA